TGTTTCGGACAAAAAGAAACGCAGTCGCAGCACATAGTTCTATTGTCTTTAAGAATGGAGGCGCTAACATTCCACCTTGAACTAGATGGATGCCGTTAAAGATCTCGTCTTCTCATTGGTCACAAAAAAAAAACATTACAAAGATGCCGTTAAAGATCTCGTCTTCTCATTGGTCACAAAAAAAAACATTACAAAGATGCCGTTAAAGATCTCGCCTTCTCATTGGTCGCGGAGGGACGCCGTTATCTCATTGGTCGCGGAACATAACAATAAGCGTTGTTACCGACGCCGTCACGGACGCTCGCTCCTCATTAGTCGCGAGGCGCTTCGTCGCTTCTCATTGGCTGCTCCTCCGCTCCTCCGCTCCTCATGGCGTAGAAGTGGTACTCTCTATCTACTATATAAGTTTCCGATCCTGTGGTAAAAGGACGGAAGGAAGGACGGACGGAAGAAAACGTGCGTACGCGCAGGAACCCTGTGTTGGTCCATGAAAAATCGACTCGATTTTTTGTTAGCTATGGACCTCCCCAGATACTTACCACAAATCTGCGCGCCGCGCGCATCAAACCGAGCTCAGGGTAAATTAGAATGTAAACAAACTCAATAAAATAGTTGAGTACTTTATTCACTGCTAAAACATAATATATTTTGTTTTTATTTTGTTATTTAACCATAAAAAGAAGCTAACGCTGCTGCATCGTTAGTTTGAATGATTTTGAATTAAATTTGCTACCGGAAAAGTGCACGAAAGAAAATATTAACAGAGTCAGACTTTTGGCAATTGCAAACGGCTCAAATTCAAGGTACTCAAGATAAAAATGAAGTTGTTTTTTCAATACGTCATTTGCTCATACTATCAAAAATATTTTCTTGACTTGATGTTTGATCTTGAATAGAAGTTCACAGGAAAATGAAATCGTCAAACTTATGAGCGAAAACATTGCATCTTTTCAACCTCAATGCAGTTCAGAACAACTCATAAATAAATAGTGATTGAGCTCAGTTTCCTCAAAAACTACTACTGCATAATGATTGTTGCATCCGTATCATTCTTGAACAAATTTTTCCAATTGTCTCTGTTTCGACGGTGCAATTCGTGATATTTTTCCCGCTCTTAATGCAGTTAATTTATATGCGAAATTATATGAAATTTACAAAGAAAATTCTTGCTTCTTGCAAAAGACAATCTTCGTATGCTCGTTTTTAACTCGAAGATTGCGAAGCAATCGAAGAGTTACCCGGGGGGGGTACTTTCTAGTGTCATAAACAGGGTAAGGGTTTTAGACCGCTGGCGGCACGTACCTATCCAAAACGGGGTCGAGTACCCCCCTCCCGGGAAGAGTTATTGGAGGGGGACGAGTCTGTCACTCACTCAATCACTCACTCACTCACTCACTCACTCAGTCAAAGAAAGAAATCTAATTAAAGAAATGTCAGCTCCTCTGAGTCTTGATCTTCAGACCTCTGAATTAAGCCCCATCTACACGAACAATTTTTATGTGACAATTTTTAATTGCTCATTCTCATCGTCATTCTTCTGAGGATGGCATAATGTAATGCTGAAACATGTTAAGATTAAAAAAATATATCGTATTTTTTAAAGTTTTATTTATTTCTAGTACTCTTACGAAACTATAGTATTTAAATTTGTTTTGTTTATTGACATCTCCGCTCTGCAAAATCACAGTTGGCGCGAGTCTTAAACAATTATTTGCTGCCTGCCCACACGGAAAAATCAAGCCGCAAATGGCAACACAACTCGAAGATTGATTGTGCAGACGAATACAGAAAGATATAATGATGAATCAAATTATAATTACTTAACGAATAGAATTTTAAATAAACGATGAATATAGTTTTATAATTTAACTTCGGTTCTGGATAAACACAAGCGAGCGCCGGTGAGATGAATACCACTCGAGCTACAACTATGAGTAAATGCTGCTACGACCAGAAGCGCTACATCTGGATCCGAAAAACAAATAAAATCACCGCAAGTGTCAAAAAACAATAACAACTAAATCCCTGAGAAAACTTGGAGTTCAATTATTAAGCAAACAATATAAATTTCAATGTTGGTGGGCGAAAAAAAATTGAGTTTGCCTAATAAAAATTATTCGCAAGGAAAACCAGAANGATTCCTCGGAAGATAACATACTTATAAATCTTATGGATTAGGCTCATTAGGAATGCCATGAATAGCAGACAAAGACAATTTGAATAGCTTTTGTTTCAGAAAGCCGTCCGGGAATTGAAGAACAACAAACGGTGCTTCATGTATTCAAAATTATGAAAACTGAAAACCTTAGCGGAGATGCAATAAATCAATATATTTCTGTTATATGTATTTCCTTCGCTTTTTTTCCCTCCCGAATAATTAATGAGTTTTTGAAGTCGTTCAAAGGCCTCCAATTCGGACTTGACGGGATTTCAAAGTCCTTGCAATTAGTTCCAGTCCTCGGCTAACGCCTCGGACTGGAACTAATTGCGCGGACTTCGAAACCCCGTCAAGTCCTCATTGTCGGCCTTTAAACATTACTTCCATTTTATTCGACATGTTTGGTACCAAAATAAACCTTAGAAACRTGGCTTTCAGACTGGGACTGCTGTAATTTTGCCTGTTTTTACTGGCGCCTTGCGCGCACTGGTAAATAGCGGGAAATACGAACGAAAGATAGACCAATCAAGTCTACGCTATTTAGTGTAAACAATGTCACTATGAACTCAAGGATCAGGGCGTGCTATCCCAATACTCGTTTGTCGATGTTTTGAACGTTTCGATTTTAACCCAATATTGAATTAAGATAAAGGATCGTTGCACAAGAGTAGAAAATTTGATCTTCAAAAGTTAAAACTTTGTCAAGGGAGCTTGTAGAAAGCTCTATTTTGGTGGGAAAACCCGCTGACTCGTCCCGGGCTCAAATGTCCGGAATTTCTGGCCATGTTTGTGCTGCGTGTGCATGAGTCTGTGTGCATGTCCTGTGCTTTTCAGAAACAACATGCATTGCCAAATTAAAACTAGACCCTGTTAGCAGGGTTGACCGTGCCCAATTGGATTTGATAAGCTTAGTAGTCTCTTAGTGATAATTGGGTTAAAAATTGGTGCTCTTGCAGTTTTCTAATGAGCTGGTAGTGTGGATTTATTTCATATCTAAAGTAGAGTTTTTTTGGTAGAATTCAAATCATTTGTTCTTACAATTACTCTGTTTATTGGTAACAAAACTGTATTTTTCTCTAAACCCTTCACAGAAACTTTCATGGCAAAGCATTTCTAAGACATCTCTAAAACACACATTTGAATACTCTCCACGTGATATTTCAATTTATAGTACATTCAACAAAATAGTACTTTCATTGGTCAAGAAGAGCACAATTACAGCGTTAATTGTACTCCTTATAAAATTTTGTTTCACTGAATGTACTTTAAGTATAGGAAATCGCACGACCTTGAGTACAATTTGGATTTAATAGTCGCTCGTATTGTTTACTCGTGACTATTAAGCTTAATTCCAAATTCCTAGTCTTATTATTTGTTTCTTCAATCATATATTTGCTGTTTTCTTCATTTGCTGCTGAGACAGCTTCCTCACTAATGGAAGGAGTATCGAACATATGCTTGCTGTTCTTGTTTTTTGTTGTTGTTTTGATTTGTTTTTCTTTTTTTGTTTTAACGACAGCATCCTCACGAGTAAAAAATGGGCAGGTTTAGCTTGCAGAAATCCATATAAAAAATTTAATTTTTACAAACAAGCGGCTTCGGTACGCAGGTGAAACGTGTCGTACAAAATCTGTGGGTGGTCCCGAAAGTGTTACCGGTTAAAAAAATGTCGTGAATTGCTTTTGCGCTTCCTTTAAAAGTCAGCTTAAAACGTATCACCTGTATTATATTATAGTTAAATTTGTAATGTTTTAACATCAAAATGGTATAGTATCAATGATGCACTAACAATTTATCTTTTAAGGGTTGAGCCAAGCAAAAGTATATTTAATTTGCGTCTTCCTGCACCAACTCTGCCACCAGGAGCAAATGGGCGAAAATATTGCGAGTGTCCGCAAAGGCAAAACCAACTTTGGAATTGTGATTGGTCCGAAAACGATTTTATTGGTTTTAGAAAAATTACAGGAAAAGATATTGCCGACCAGTTTCGAAGGCGTCGACGAAGGTCAATAACCGGAACTTTCTACAGCGATGACTTAATGGATTATGAGGAGAGGAGCTTTTTTATTGACGAAAAAGAGGCACAATTCGCGCTTTCACGTATTCGATCAAGACGATCAGTAAACAACGAATTGATGTCCAATGAAAATGCTACAAAACACTGTAGAGCTGTAATAGAAGATTCAACGGCTGGAAAGACATGCAGTGATGTTCCTGGGTTTAACCTGACATTGGCCATGGCAGAATGCATCACTGATTTAAAAGTATACTAAAGACAATAATAATAATAAACATAAACATATAATTAATACAAAAAAACTCTACAAAAATTAAAACTACGAAAGGATATAATAAATACAATCAATTTACAGATCAATTGATTTTTGTAGTTAACCAGAGATACGAAGTTTGCGGGAGCTGCATTCGACTCTATGAAAGAGTCCTGCGAAGAAGTTACTTTAAAAAATATCTCTCTATATCAAGAAGACGCCAGTGGAAAACTCCAGCCATCTCAAAAAATTGGTGACAACCTGTGTCCTGGTGATTGTAGCGGCCATGGTGACTGCTTAAACAGAACATGCATATGTTATAAAGGCTATACCTCAGATGATTGCTCGATGAAAATTGACGCTGTGCCTGAATTGTTAGGGTAAGCTTTGGCAGAAAATATATTTAACAATTACAATTATCATATAATTATCTATAAAATATCTACATTTCTCCATTTCATAAAGTTGATATTTTCACTAGTGAAAATATAACATGTTATCTTTTCACATCATTATTGTAGCAAACATTTAAAAAATAAACATGACTAAAATAAGTATATTCGGTAAAAAAATTGTTCAGAAGCGATCGAGTCGAGAATCAAACCCGCGATCCTGAGTTCGACGCTTTTTTCGAGTATGATATTCTGTGTAAAATCAAGATAACGGCTCTCGAAATAATATTTAAACGAATAACTACAGAAAAAAATCAACATGACTAAAACAACTATTTTTTCGGTTAAATGTAAAAAGAAAGAGAGGAAGAAAAAAAACAAGTGCATGCTCGAGTCGAGATTCGAACCCGCGATCCTCAGTTCGACGCAGCTGTTCGAGTGTCAAACTTTCTTATGGGTTTGCGTTTGCTCGTGTTTGGTTGAGATAGTCTGATCATCAAGCATAGCAATTTTTGAGAAGTCTAAAAATAACTTAACCTGAGTATCAGGCCGTCGAGGGGGCCTGGGTAAAGGGGGGGGTGGGGGGGGAGGAACAAAGGCATCTACCTTTTTTTCCCGGTTTTCCTCCCAAAGAGACAGATACTCAGGTTAAAAATAACTTGTCTAACTCCACTTCATTTGCATTTTAACTTTTCAGCCCTCAGGGGAGAAGATATAAGTTAAAAATAGATTTTCTTTATAGAAATGCTTTAAAACAGAATGTTGTGTTTCGGATAAAAAAAGATACTCTGAGATGTCGCGTGCACGAAATACGTGTTAATTTGCCCATACCGTTGGAATAAAACCAGACAAACCCACAGAGGTTTTTACTGAAGGCTTTAAGTGACACAATGATTTCTGAAACTGAAATTGCTGTTCCTAGAAGCCCATAGATAACACTCAAAATAGTATTGTGCTGGTATAATTTTGATTCTGGTTCTCGGCGAACTCATTTATTTTCCTGGGGGTGTTCCCAGTATTCCTCTCGTGTCTATGTTGTAGTTCAGGTTCAATATATTTTTGAACCAGTTTAATCTAATTTGTTCCAGTGCAAGATACTTTGCACTGATCTTTTTTTTTTGCTTTGGCATTCTTAAAATAACTATGTCCCATCTCATTCTCTCCCATTTTCTATCTATCATCTTATTTTCTACCTTCTACTATTTCCTACTTTATCTTACCCTATACCCCACAGAAATATTGATATTTTCTATATTCTTAATTTATGAGTAACACTTACCTTCATCAGGGTTTGAACCACTGAACTCTTGCTTCATAGTCCACAGTACTACCAATTATACCATCAAGGATTTTGTTGGTAGTAATGTTGCAAATTGTTTTTATCTTAATTGTAATTTATTAATGAAGAAATTTTTTATATAATGCTGGCTCAACCCTATCCCCAACCCTAAACCTAACCCTAAACCTAACCCTAATCCTAACCCTAATCCTAACCCTAACCTGATTTGTAACTGGATTGAGTTATATTGGACTGGCTCAAAATAAACTGAACCAGTTCAGAAGAAATTGATATCATATTGAAATCATATTGAACCTGAACTACAACATCTACATGCCTGGAGTTAACGTTTGCCCTGAGATTGGCCCATATAGGCTTACAGCTGCACGTGGCAATTTTTATTTACTCGTAATTATTTTGAATTCACAGCATTTATGATGGAGGTTTGTGTGACATTCGAAAACGACCATGCAAGAAAATCGACATCTTTGGAAAAGACTTTATCAACTCAGGAAACRTCACTTGCCATATTAGGGAGTTTAAGGCAAGCCACGGTTTCATATTCAAACTATTTATATTTGTATGATATTTGGTATATTACACCGGCGGTCTTGGAATGACCGAGAGCTGTGTGCTGATAAAGTACACATGCACGGATGACKCCTTTTATTCTTACRTGCGCTCTGATTGGTCACACGAGTGGCCCTGTTYTCTTGTGTTCGCTGAACCGTTTCAATAAAAKTACGCACGCTCCTGAAACAAATAAGATGAAAATATTATAAACATACCTCTGAATTGTTTTCTGGGCATACACTACAGGYGATGTCAAGTAAATGGATGCCTAAACAAAAYRCCATCAAGAAACAYGGTGATATGATTGATATCTTTGGAGTACGGTGTGACCTTCCMGATCCCCCTACAAAACTTGGCGACTATAGCAATGTGGGAACCCCAGCAGGAGGRCTGTGGATATCAATCTCGAACGACGGCGAAAGTGAAAGTCGGCGGCGGATGCGATTTATCTCATACGACTCTATCTGTGTGACATGCAACAAGACTGGCAACTGCTCATTCAAAGTGAGTTGAAATTCAGTTTCTTTMTTTAYTTTCCTCGTTGCTTWGATATGTAAAATTTTYAATTGTTGAATTTCAAGACTATTTTTTGAAAGTCATATTTTGTCAAATTTTTGAACAAACGACGAGTTTATTTAACCCCATTCGGCCTCAATTGTCTCCTCGCTAAATTCAAGTTGACATTCAATTTAGAGCCGATTTGCGAACTCCATGGAATTTTATCTTCATTCAATACTAACGACCGCCATTGTTTACCTTTTTTCGCTTCACGCATTCAAATTTCTTTAAAGTTTAGGAGATAGCCGAAGATATCTAAAGAAATTTACGCTAAATTCTGAATTAGATATCTCTGCGGAAAGTTGGCGACTCCTATTTTTTTCATACTTTCTCGTCTCTCTCTCCCATAGATCAGTATCTTTTTATGGTAGAAGCTTGA